CTGATTATGCTTGGAGCTTTTACTTCAGTGAATTAGGGGATGCTCTTCCTGAGCTGCTTCAAGATGTTATTTCCTTGTGGACTTAAAATATGCTTCAGAGCTTTGTGCCAAGAAACTGTGCCTGCATATATCTCCCATCTTCTAGGTCACATTCCGCCCTCTGTACACCTTGCCGTCTAAGCTTGGTCCCTGTGTGCACAACAATGGGCATTAAAAAGCGACAAGGTTACAATTTGCATCTTGACTTCTTTTGCTTGCCTCTTACAGATATGCTTGCACAGAACTCAAGCGGAAAATTAATACTTTTCTACACACCTAATAAAACAAATAACAAGCCGTATCCCACGGGAATAAATCAAGATGTCCTTTGAAAATCCTAGGGCCTTTTATGGCAGTTACTCTGCACCAAATATGGCGAACTCGCCTAGATATTTCTGCAGACCAAAAGCAAGCGTTCCTCTCTTTCTGGCCATCCAAAGAGGTTAGTTAGCAAGAGAATTACTAATAAAGGCAGCCCCACAATCTGAAGCAGTCTCTTGACCATCCTCTCCACAACTATGGAAGGTTGAAGGTTACATGAGAAGTGAAGCCTATGTTCTTAGAATAGATGAGCATTATTATTATTATTCATTTATTTACAGAAATAAAACAGATAAAATCAAGGGCATCTGCAAGAAGGGAATGAAAAAAAGATGGAGATGGTGACATTGGATTATTCTTACCAACCTATTCTGACCTAGGCTTCCCCAAAAAGCACAAGGCAGAGGCCTGGTCCCAACAAAACCCCTTTTATTAAACAAATGTGAATTCCTCTCATTCACATTCAGCAAAGGCGTGGCAAACAGTCTTTCAAATATTTATGACTACAGACCTTATCTATTTTGGAAAGCTGCCATGTAAATATTTTCCAAATGAGATAGGGTGCAAGGAAAGACTGAGCAGAGTCACGGACAGATTTTCAGACTCCTGAAACAAATCTAACGACCGAATGAACGATTTTTTTCCTCTAAAAGCCCACTCCCATTTCGCTCCTCTTTTATGTCCTATGGGAGAAGCCAATCACCTTCCACCAGTGACTTTACTCCCAAGTCGGCCCTGATTTCTGAGTTGTTTTTTTCTTCTGGCAGCTCTGCGTATGTGCACACTGGGAACAGGCTCCCACTGTTCCTCTGCCTCACTGCTGTCTAGCTCCATAGGCACCTGATCGCTGCCAGGCGTCCTCGGCCCTGTCTCTGCCTCCAATGCAGAGCCCTCGTCCGAGCCTTCCCAACCCTCTAGGATTGGCCCATGTTCCTCCCCAACCTCCTCACTGTCCGACTCTGCTGCCAGATCCGCTGGCTGCTGGTGGGCCACAACACTACCTCCCATTGTGTGGAAGCCGTGGTTACAGTTGTGAAGAACTTTACTCCTGTACCTCTGCTCTCAAGTTGCCCTCTTGAGGCCCCCAGTGAGGTCAAGCATAACCGTGTGAACACAAGTTGTGCTTTTACCCTTCCTTACCAGATCTTCATATGATCAGCCCAGTCAGCCTTTCCTCCCCCAAGTGCTTCCAGATGTGTCTTGACTGCCAAGTCCATCACCTGTACTTAGCGTGGTGGGAGTTGGGTGTCCAACACATCTGGAGAACATCTGAGTGGGGAGAGAAGCGATGCAGAGAAGGTGATTGTTATGATTTTTGGAGTCAATCTTGAGTCGGTTTTTGACATCTGACAGAGATAGTGAAATGTAATCCTTCCCATCCAGAAAGTGCGGCCTGACTGAAGAAGACATTTGAGGAAGTAACCAATCTGCTTCTTGCGTTGCACAAGAGGACAAAGCTGCCAGAAGAAATGTGATGCCTGACAATCATTTTCAAACTGGGGGATTTTTTTATTTTTAATCTACCGGAGGTTTTGACAGGCTTCTAGAACAGCAGTTAAAAGCAAAGAGCCCTGGAACTAATTCTTCTACCCAGCCACGCTGCTCCTGAGTGGTGCGCCGGGCGCATCGCATTCTCTGCCTGTCAAACGGCCCATAGCAACACGCTCGTGATGCCAAAAAGCTTATTTGGTCTCACGGCTGCCTGGCGAAAGACTCATTGTCACATGCCTTGTAGCTGATGTCTCCCTTAGACCACTAGCCCTGCACATTTCTCTTCTGGCTAGGAGAGAAAAACAAGCCTAGAGGAGAGGGGGTGGGGAAACAGCTGTTAGGTAGTGCAGATGTGCTGCAGCAGGCAGTCTTTTAAGAAGGATGATCTCTTCCCCCTTTCTCTTTCTCTCTCTCCTGTGGACACACACAAACGCAGTGTCAGGGTTTTAAATAGCATCCTCTATGAAACAATAGCTCGAGGCAAGAAGTTTCTCAAAACACCATTTTATTAGACGAGCCATGTTGGCACATCTGGGAAAACCCAAATCTGAAAGCTTCCAGGTTTTCCCACTCACTTTAAAGTTCAAGACCCTGGCCCAACAATACCCACAAGTCCATCAAATGGTCCAATCAGTCTCTGCCGTCGATGAAGATTCCTCCCATCCACATTCATCCAGGTGCAGGGATAAGGCGACCTTGACTTTCTGAGAAGGAATGTTGTTATGGCTACAGATCTCCCAAGCTCCATACCATCCCCTCTCCCAGTTTCCCATAATAACAGGCTTGAGGCCCTATCCGCCGATGGCTTCCAAGCCTGACACACAGCCTCTGAGCTGAGTTCCTGTCATTTCTCCTGTAATTTTCTCCATCTCCATAAAGTTAGGAGCCATTTGGTGTGTCCCCCCCCCCCAGGTCTGATCCTGATTTCCTTTGTGTACCTTTTTAGGCCACCCACATATTTATCTCCATTCCTTTAAATTGCTGTACAGCATATTTCATTGAGGGCTGCATCAGGGTTGTGTTTGACTTCAGGAGGGCCAGGGGAAGGAGCTCGGCAAAGGGGTGTGGCCAGCTCGATGTCACTTGTGTCGGAGGCGCCTGTGGTGGCCTGAGCGCTCTGCCTGCGAAAACAGGCTCCCGGGCTGTTCTTTTGCCTGCGACGGCCTCCTGCAACCCTCTGCCAGTGAAAAAGGAGCTCGGGAGGGCCGTGAGCTGGTCCTTTGCTGTTTCCAGGGCAAGAGCCAGATCTAAGCACCCCGTGGGCCGAATTCGGCCCATGGGCCTTGAGTTTAACACTCTTGCTGTACAGTATCCTAAGCAGAATTTTATCATGTGTAATCCAGGAAGGTTGTAAGTAATTTTGTACAGATATTCCTCAACTTAACAGTTCACTTAGTGAGCGTTCAAAGTTACAACGGCACTGAAAAAAAGGGGGATTTATAAATGTTTTTCACAGTTATGACCATTGTAGCATCTCCATGATTAAAATTCAGATGCTTGGTAAACTGGTGCACGCTTACGAATGTTGCTGTATCCCAAGGTCACGGGGTTACCTTTAGCAACTTTTTGACGGGCAAAGTCAATGGGAAAGCCAGATTCCCTTAACAACTGGGTTACTAACTTACCTACCGCAGTGATTCACTTAACAACCATGGGAAGAAAGGTTGTAAACTGGGGCAAAACTCACTTAATAAATGTCTCACTCAACAACATATATTTTGAGCTCAATTGTGCTTCGTAAGTCGAAGACTACCTGCATTGGGTGCACATCAGGGATGAAACTCAACAGGCTCTGACAGATTCTGGAGAACCGGAAATTTTGAGTAGTTCAGACAACGGGCAAATACCACCTCTGACTGGCTCCAGGAGTGGGGAGGGAATGGGGATTTTGCAGTAACCTTCCCCTGCCACGCCCACCAAGCCACACCCACAGAACCGGTAGTAAAAAAAATTGAATTTCACCACTTGTGCACATCCCCACCTCATTTACTCATCCCTTGCTTATATATCTGGGTTAGACCCAAACTTTTGAGTGGTTCCATGGAAAGAGAGGTTTTTCCGTGGATCGGAGGGGGCATGAGGTTTGTGTGCTACTAACATCCTGTGGATGGGGCTTCACTTCTTTGCGTGGCCCAGTTTCTGCCACAGACCAGTATTTGTCCACAAATTGGGAGTTGGAAACCCCTGGATTATGGTATATCGATCTGGAGTTATGCAATTTGGCAATTTAGAAACTTTAGAATTAGAATTAATTCTTCTTGGACTATTTAGAAAGTTCAAAACATTCTTAAAGATCCATCTCATCCTGGGCACCCTTTTTTTGAACTATTACCATCTGGCAGACGGTACAGGATAATAAAAACAAGGACAAAGAGGCTGAAAAACAGCTTCTATCCCAGGGCAGTAACCATATTGAATTCTACTGTATAGTGCAAGATTAATGCAATATCAGGGGTTTTCAATTAATTGTATAGAATGTGAAGGATGTGTGTTTGTGTTTGTACACTGAAGATGGCATTTAATTTCGTTGTAGGGGGTGCAATGACAATAAAGTAACTAACTAACTAACTAGCTAGCTAGCTAGCTAGCTAGCTAGAAAACTGATGAGATAGGAGTGTTGCTGGATGGGAGTGTTTTGTCAAATCTGAATCAAGGTAAGAATGGTTTGCGATCAATTAGCTTATATCCACTGAAGTGTTCTGCCTGGCCCATTGCTCCACTAAGTCTCCAATTTCTGACTTTTCAAGTCTTGCTTTCAAAGGCTCCAGGTTGTTTGGGGTAAAACCGTAAAGCCATACACCCATTTAGCATTGTTCCATTTTACTTCCTTGTTCTTTTCTGCACTCCTGTTTTGCTTGTATCCAAGCGGTATAGTAGTGGGTGTGTTTACTTATAAAGCAAGTCCAGCAGCGAAGCTTAATTTCCAAATGAAGAGGCACCAGGTGGTCGCAGTCTTAAGTTCCTGTCGAATTGTGTTTGTGTGTTGCCGGGGGGGGGGGGGGGAGTGTTGGTGCACACATCTGCTTCCTCCCAGTGGCTTGCTGGCCCACGACTTCCGTTGTCCTAGAATGCTGATCAAGATCCATCCCGCTGGCTTTGCTATATTCTCCCTCTGAATGTCTTTTTTTTCTCCTCCCTCCCACTTCAAGGTCACCCACTTTCCGGTCATGGCAACGATTGTCTCCGAAAAACTCAGCCGCCTCTTCATCAACCTCCAGCACTTGTGCAAAATCCCTCAACTCCTCTCCAAGTCCTTGCCCGCTCCCTCCTGCACGGTGGCAGCCTCGGAGGTGCCCCAGCTTTTCCGGAAGCCCTACATCCACGCTGGCTACCGGCCCCTCCACCGGAACTGGTCCTTCTACTTCCTGTCCCTCTTCCAGCAGCACAACGAAGCGCTCAACGTCTGGACGCATCTGCTGGCGGCTTTCATGTTGCTGGGGCGCTTCTGGCAACTCTCCCAGATCGTGGATTTTGTGGGCGACCCGCACGCTCAGCCCTTCTGCATCGTGGCTGTGTCTTCCATCATCTACTCCACCTGCAGCACCTTGGCTCATCTCTTGCAAGCCAAATCTGAGTTCTGCCACTACACCTTCTTCTTCTTGGACTATGTAGGGGTGGCCACCTACCAGTACGGTAGCGCTTTGGTGCATTATTACTACGCCATTGAGCCAGAGTGGCACGCCTGGATCTCCAGTTTCTACATTCCGGGCGCGGTGGGGTTGGCTTGGCTGTCCTGTGTTGGCTCCTGCTATGCCAAATACCGATGCCCACATCTGTCCCGTCTGCAGGGCCGGCTGTGCCAGGAAATGCCCTCTGCGGTAGCCTATGCTTTAGACATCAGCCCTGTGCTCCATCGTATCTACACCTCGACCATCTCCGGACAAAGCGACTTGGCTGCTACCTACCATAAGTGCCACGTTTTGTGCTTCCTGGTTGCAGCCTTTTTTTTCGCCTACCCCTACCCCGAGAAGTGGTTTCCCGGGAAGTGTCACTTTGTGGGACAAGGCCACCAGCTCTTCCACATGTTCCTCATTTTTTGTACCTTCATCCAGTTAGAGGCGGTGCTTCTCGATTACCGGACTAGGCGGCACATTTATGCTGACCTGCATGGCGACCTCGCTCCCTTTTTTTCCATCATGTGCCTTGTGCTGATGGCTTCCTGTGGCCTCACAGCCCTCTACATGACGGTCAAAGTCAAACACAAAATCCGGCCGAAGCGGGACTGAGTTCAGGGGACGCCGGCTGCTGGAGATTTACCGCCAGCTGCTTCTTTCGGTGCACTTGCTCTGGGAATGTCTGTCCTGCTGTCGTTTAGGAAACTGATTAGGATAGGTAGCTATTGCTGGGGTCTTCCCCTCCTCTTGCACTGGAGATCTTGCTTGCGGGTTGCTCTGTCCAGGCAACTGAGATGAGAAGTGGGAGGTTGCATCAGAAAGGAAGTGTCCAAACTCTTTGGGGGAAAGGAATTCGTCTTTTGTTTCCTGCTGTCTCCGATTGAAGGGAGAAGTTGTCGTTGCTATGCCTCTCAGAAGCTACATCCATCTTTCTTCCACCCTTCTGAATTCGAGCTGGCAGCCTTCGGGCTCTTAGGAATCCACTTGATTATTATCAGTTTCCCAGATCCACCAATGGGACCCTGGGCCAGAGGGATCGGTTTAAGATCCTGAGGCCGGGAACTGGTTCTAAATTCCAGAACTAGATGGAGCACCCCCAACGCATTCATCTTGGGGTTCTCCAAACTTCCTTCATTTCAGCAGTGCTTGAGAGGGAATGGGTGGGAATGGTTCCTTTCACTGCTGCCATTTAAACACAGGTGTCCGCCTTATCGGACAAGAACTGCACAGAGAAATACCTGGAGAGCTATCCTTTTGATCTCTTCCTTTTTTAATTAGTAGAAGAGCTTCCAGAAGGGAGATTAGAGATGGCACTTAACCAGCACTTCCCTTGGAGGAGAGGACTTCCTAGCCTCCATGTTTTGAATAAAAATAGCTCTTGCTCTGGGTTTCACTGATTTGGGTTTCACTGATTTGATTCTGTGCCCTACTTCGAGGCACTCGTGTAGCACTGGTGCCTTCACGGATTGCCTTCTGCAATATCCAGACGAAAGCATCCTTCCTTGCTTTGGGAAACCATCTGGGACTTCTTCTGCTTGTCTACCGTGAGCCAGGCCCTGGGAAACCTGCTAGGTGGATCATGTGCCTTCAGAAGAGCATCTGTCTATCCAAAACTTTGTATGTGGGAATGATATTACTTGTGATTTCTTTTTTTAATGCAGTGGTAAGCATGTTTAGAGAGGAGAACCTGGGCCAACGCTGGACCTCTGTGGGTCAAAGTGAGATCTGAGAAGGGGGGAAGAGATGGCTAACGTTTTCAGAAGGAAGTCCATGCAACTGTGATGGGTTGATCTAGCAGACCTTAAAGCAGTGTACTGAAGACCCTTCTCCCCAATTATCTATGGGTTCCTTCTATCAAATTTAATTATCTGCTCATCTATAAGCCTCAAGATCTATTCCTCTAGTTTTTTTTTACACAAATGTCACTTCATTGTCACCTATAATCTGTCCTTTCTAAATGGCAATGCCAATGATTGAGACCGGCCCTTCTCCCATGGCAAACATTTATGATCCCACCAAGCTGTAGTCCCTGCATTTAAAGATCTTTGAGATCCAACGCTATGATTCCCAATCTTTGAGATTCAACTCTATGATTCCCAATCTTTGAGATTCAACTCTATGATTCCCAATCTTTGAGATT